GATTCTTATTTTCTAAGAATAATAAGAATAAAGACTCCTGAATTATAAATTAAAACACAGAGGAATATTCTAAACAGCTCAATATACCTTTAGGCTTTCTTGGCCTGTGATTTTTCAAAAATCTAGTGAAGCAAGATCTTTTGTCTCTGTGCATATAAATTAAAACCCCATGTTGAGTGAAAATTTAAGGCTCAGCTTTTCTACTGGTTCAAAATTCTGATAATTACTTAGAAAATAAGAATCTGTATATTCAAAGTCAATTTACTTAGATCATATTGAATTCCTGACGAAAGCATATGCAAGCCTTTTTAACAGCTAAAATTCATTTAAGTTTTAAATGCCTCTGTACTTAAGAGTAGCATATCACAAATTTTATGTGGAAAACCTGAAAGAAATTGCAAGAAAGATTGAGCTGGTAGAATCATAAACCTTCTGTTCTGGAGAAGTAGAATATAAACACTTAACTTATGCCTGGATCCCAACAATGATGGTTATGGTCCTGTCTGTGTGTATAGTAATACACAAACCATTTTATTTTTGGACATTGCCTACTTGGCTTTAGAATTTTTTAAAATAAATTATGGCCAAATTCATTGGATGCTTCTAAATATTTGTCTTACCTGTCCATTTCCCAATCAAATAAAACAATCTTAAACTTGCTTCTCAATCAGATCTTCAGAAATTTAAATATAATTTCATATTTCCAATAATTATTACTTACCATGCCGTAAATTCACCATTCACTCCATGTGCCTTAAACAATTTGTGTTTTAATAGGAATAACCTTTAGTTTAATTATGCTTCTCATTCACTGTATTCATTATTCATGTGAATAAATGTCAACTGTAAACATATTTTAGAACTATATAGATATATATATATATCTCATCTAAAAGTCAAATATATAGAGATAATCAAATATTTAATGACTTTTGTTGTCTTACACAATGTGACTGGTTTATTGGAAACATCTCTTAAGATCCACAGCAACTTTTGCATGACTGGCCTAACTTAATATGTGTCATCAGATATATTCAAACATTTACATGAGTTTGACTGTAGCTAATTATGAGGTGGAGAGGGGAGCAAATAGAATTTGATTAAGGATGATCTGTGTATATGGGAAGCCTCATTGTCTTATGCTCCTAGGAAAAACTATTCTTAAATGAATGTATATTCGCTTAAGTAAAAAAAGTATTCCTTTTCTTTTTCTCTTCTTTTCCACTTCCTTGACATTATTTGCAGATTATGATGATTTGCAGATTATGATTAAGCAATTTGATGAATTAGCCTTTTTGTAACAAATTTAAAGCATTCATTCAGAAGAAATATGAAAAAAATTAGAAAGTTCAGGCATTACACTACAGGAAAACATCTCCAGGTTTAGTGGGAATGTGGGTTCTGTGGGCACACTGCCCCTTCCTCTCCTTACTAATAAACTTCTTTCTATCTCTTCTGCAGCCTGTGATCAGCTATCTCTTGGAGTGGCTGCCATCTTTGGGCCTTCACACAGCTCATCAGCTAACGCAGTACAGTCCATCTGCAATGCTCTGGGGGTTCCCCACATACAGACGCGCTGGAAGCACCAGGTGTCAGACAACAAAGATTCCTTCTATGTCAGTCTCTACCCAGACTTCTCTTCACTCAGCCGTGCTATCTTAGACTTGGTGCAGTTTTTCAAGTGGAAAACGGTCACAGTTGTATATGATGACAGCACTGGTAAGAGCACCAGCAGCCTTATTGGCTGTTCCCAATACACAGTGTTTGGTAATCTTTGTGTTCTTTTGTGTCTTGTTTTGTTTTCTTTTAATGTGTATTAGTCACTTTTCTGGTACTGTGATAGAAACACTGACCCAATCAATTTATAGAAGGAAGAATTTATTTGAGCTTATGGTTCCAGGGGAATTACAGTCTGTCATGGCAGGGAGGCATAGTGGCTGGAAGTGGCTAGAGCAGGAGCAGCAGAAGCTAAGCTCTCACATCATCATGCAGGTGCAGGAAGCAAGAGAGTGACTGGAGATCTGGCAAGACTTAAGAACTCTCTATGCCCACCCCCAGTGACGTGCTTCCTCCAGGATAGCCACACCTTCTAAAACCTCTCAAAATGGCACCGTCATCTGTGGACAAAATGTCCAAATACTTGGAGCCTATGGGGGACATTTTCATTCAAACCATCACATTCCACCCCCTGGCCCCCATAGAATCATGACAATATAAAATACGAAATGCATTTAGTCCAACTTCAAAGTCTCCATAGTCATTATCAGTCTCAATGCTGTTTAAATGTACACAGTCCAAAGTCTCTTCTGAGACTCAGGTGAATATCTTAACTGTAAGCCTCTATAAAATCAAAAGACAAATTGCATACTCCCAAAATACAGTGGAACCGAATACACATTACCATTCCAAAAGGGAGGAATGGAGGCATAGTTATGAAATACCAGACCAAAGCAAGACTGAAAACCAGTAGGGCAAACACCAAATCCAGTAGCTCCATGTCCAATTTCTGGGACTTTACTTTCAAAGGACTTAGATGGCTCAGTCTCTCTATCTTTACTATGTGCAACACACATCTCTTTCTTGGGCTGGTACTACTCCTGTATGAAGGTCTTCTTGGCAGATGCCTCACAGCTCTGGCATCATGAACTTCTTGGGATCTCCATTGCCAACCAGGCTTCACCTTCACAGCTTCACGCAATGGTCTATCAGGGCCTTCTCTAGGCAGTGGAATCCCTGTTTCATGCTGTTTGGCCTCCAAGGCTCTCTGAAACCTCAGAAGAAGAACTGATGATCCCTTCACTCTTCCATCTTTCATGACTCTAAAGCCAGCACCAGGTGAACAACAATGCCAAATTTGACTGCAAGTTTGGGATGGATTCCAGCCTGCTTTATCCATTGTAGGGGGGTTTCTCTTCAGTGGTCCCTGCAGCATTTTCCTTTCATAAGTGGGAGGCTTAACTGGATGTGGTCTTGCCCTGGAGTCACCCTCTCCATTATTTAAATTTGAATCTCTAGGCCCCTCCTTAATCACTTTAATCTTCTTAATCACTTTAATCTCCTTATCATTGGAATCTTCTCCATCACAAACCAGGACATCACATCCAACATTTATCTTCCTAGTGCTTTTTTTCAATCCATCCTGTGCATTCTGTATTTCTTTCTGCCCCATTTTCTCTTTTTCTTTGTAAATCTGTATAACATTCACCATTAATAGCCATGCCACCATTTCTACATTAGGCTGTTATGAAATTTCTTCTGCTAGAGAAATTAGTCCATGACTTTTCAACTTAGCCTCAGGCAAGCTTTGTATCTGTGGGCAGACTCCAGGCAGGCTCTTTGCCAAAATACCCCAGGTTCTGCTTAAGTACTTTTTTCCCTCTGGAACTAAATTGTCTTCAGAACTACTTTCTTCCAGGCACTTACTAGAATGGCCTGTTAAGCTCTGCTTACAGCAATCAACCACTTTTCTAGCCCAAACCTCCAAAGTCTTCCCATTCCTCCAAAACCCCACTCCTGGTACCAATTACTGTATTAGCCACTTTTCTGTTGCTGTGACAGAAACACTGACCCAAGCAATTTATAGAAAGAAGAATTTATTTGAGCTTACAGTTCCAGGGGAATTACAGTTCATCATGGCAGGGAGTCATGGTGACTGGAGGTGGCTAGAGCAGGAGCAGCACAAGCTAAGCTCTCATATCATCACGCAGGCAAAGGAAGGAAGAGAGTGACTGGAGATCTGTCACGGCTTAAGAACTCTCTGAGCCCACCCCCAGTGACATGCTTCTCCAGGATAGCCACACCTTTTTAAAACCTCCCAAAACGGCACCACCATCTGGGGACAAAATGTCCAAATTCTTGGAGCTTATGGGGGACATTTTCTTTCAAACCAACACATAGTGTTTGCTTTTGTGTTGTTGTTGGCTTTTCTTTTTGTTGTTGTTAGTATTATGTTAAAGGACTTAAAGACATTTGATTTGGAACAAAATTCCTACACTCCTTTCGCAGATCCTAATAAATTACAAAGAGTCAAAGCACATACTCTTTCTCTGTATTTATAAATAAAAATTTTTTTCTCATGAAGTATCAGGTAGTTCGACCATACATTTAAATGAAGATAGTATGAATATAATATCAATATATTATTAAAACAATTTTCTGTATTATTGATAATTTTCTATAGTGAAATCTCATGATTGCCAGTCTGTCAACATCAAGAAATTTGTAAATCGGATCTAACATTTTGTCTATTTTATGCAAACAATGCATATGTAAATTAATGAATTTTATATCTTTAAGGCATGTTGAGGTTTAAACTTTTGCTTTTCTCAAACGAACAAATAATATGACTGAAATATTTATGAGTATTTGAAACCTTTATGTAGATACCATTTAGAAATTTAAAAAAGAGATTTGGAAATAGAATTTACTGAAATAGTATTTATGTCACTGCCTTAGAAAAGAATATTTTAGTGAATGTATGCTGATAGTGGTTATCTGTGCTTTCTTTTTATATTTTCTTTATTTATTATTTTTATTTGTTTATGTGTATAAGTGTAATGACTGCATATATGTAAGTGCATCCATGTCATGCGATGCCTGAGGAGGTCAGAAGACAGCATGGAATTCCCCTGGAACTGGAGTTACAGATGTTGTTAGCCACCATGTGGGTGCTGGAAATCGAACCTGGGTCCTTTGCAAAACAGCCAGTATTCTTAACTGCTGAGCTATCTCTCTAGACTGTAGTTGTCTGTGTTTTCTTATTTTTATAATTATTTAAATGGTAGCTGGGCATGGTGGCTTGCTTACAATCCCAGAACTCAAGAGGAAGAGGCAGTGAATGTCTATGAGATTGGGGCCAGCCTGGTCAAGTTCCAGGCCAGGGAGACCATCTCAAAAGAAAAAAAAAAAAAAAGAGTGACGGTGACATTGAATTATTAATTTAAAACAAGTTTCAGAGCAATGTAAGAAAGTAAACAGTAAAACTGAGCTTAAATTTTTGCTGACAGTTATTTTTATTTAACTAATTGTTGTGCAACTATGATAATTGATTTCATTTAAGGATTTTTTTAATAGTCTAAATATTGCTTTAAATTAGAATGCAAAACATTTTATTTTAGGCCTTTTCACTATGCCTTCAAATTTACATTGAGATTGAAATTCATTTGAATTTAAATTCTCCCCCAAAATGATAGGAACACACTTTGTTCCTTTGTTACTACACATTTTGTATGCTTGAAGTGTACAAAACTCTTTGTAGAAATTTGTCCATTTTATAATGAAATTTATCAATGCAAATGGAAAGATAGAAACTCAGCTAAGGGAACAAGGCGTTCCAGGGTTGAAAATAGAATGAAAATAGTTTTTTTTTAAGTTGTCTTTGAATTAAAAATGAGCTCCTCTTAGTACAAATTGATAATCTTATTTGACTTATTGAAAAATGTAAAAATATTTATAACTAAATTTAACTTATACTTTATCAATAAAAATCTTTAAGACTCACAAGTAGTTTTAATGAATCTTTTACCTCAAACTATACTATTAACATTATTGTGTTCTTTCCCCACATCATAATTTTGTTTTTGTTATTTAAAGCTCTGCCTAGGAGGCTATATAAATGGCTCCCCTGGGTTTGGATAATGTATAATGGCCCAGGACATCTTCAGCTACAAATTAATGCAATTACATTTACAGTCATCAATGGCCACATACGGAATCATACAAAATGGACCCACAGGCGTTGTGAATCCATAGGTGATGTCTTTCCTGAAATGACTCTTGAGTAATTGAGCAAAGAAATAATAGACTTTGTTATCACAAATCATATTATCATATCACTATTTGAGAAAATAAAGATTCACAAGCAAATGATGTTTCTCAGCCATAAAGTATTTTCTAATCATTTTCATCACCAAGAGAAAAACATATAAAGTCAATTGTAATTACATAATTTTAGTGGCAGTTTTATCTTAGTTTATTAAAATAAAATATTCTTATTTAAAAGCTTTAAAGTTGTGTATGGTAGTGTCTCTTGGCTATAATTCAAGCATTTGGATGTCTAAGACTGCTGCTAGTTTGAGGTCAGCTTGGGCTAAATTTACCCTGTGATACACAGTGAGACCCTGTCTCATAATCCACCCACTCCTCAAAGAGAAGAAGTTTTACCATTTCTTTATTTTGAAGATGACGTAGTTGGACATTTCAGAGATATTTGGCTACATAAATATTAGATATTAACATTAAAGTAATTATAGATTATAGAATAAGTATGCTTCTCAGTAGGTTCAAAAAAGCCTATTGAAAAATTACAGATACAATATCTCTGCATGAGTCCATGTGTATAGCTGAAGGCTATGTAATAAAAAGCAATGCCAGACAGAACCCTCCCTTTGAGACTAGGCCAGGGTAGTTCAAGAGACTCCCAAAATTACACAGGCTATTGCCTCCTTGAAATTGAAGATAAGACCCTATTGCTGAAGATAGGACACACTTTGGCCACAGAGCTTGGAGCAATAGAGCTGGAACTGACCTGGAAGTCACCTCTTCTGAATGATCGCACTCATAGTTTTGGAGAACACTATGAAAGCTGCTAAGGGAAAACATCAATTAATGGTGCAACCTCCAGCTTTAAGGCCTAGTAGCCACAACAATGACTGGAACAGCAATTAGGGCAGTAGTGGCCCTTTTATCTTGGGGGTAATCAACAGTTATGTAATTGGACT